AAACTCTCTGCCACACTAAAACAAGTGCAACAGAGAATCTTCAATAGATGCTGACCACCTTCAGAAAAAAATATTCAACAAGGAAGAACATTGCTGACTTTATACCGATATTTTAATAACCTTAGAATTAAGCTCACCAAAACAATATAAATGTTTACAATATATTAAATAACTGCAAAAAGTGAATACCAGGACTACATTAACATGAACAACAATCATGGTTTGGTCTTTAGGGATAGCTTTACCTCTTTCATCTATAACCGTTATTTCCCTTGTGTAGGAAAATGAGCAAGAATGATAGGGATTACTCAATGTCCTGTCAGGAACAGTGTGCAATTTCCAAACACCGTCCTGAAAAATTCAGTATAAAAAAAAGGCAAGCTTAATAAATTTCTTAAACCCGGGTTACTCTTCTGGGCAAAAAACAAAATTGATAATTATAAAGGTCATGCATACCTGTATTATTTCTGGGTGATGAAAATGATGTTTGGTCTGATGCAGGTGACTACAGCAATCAAGGCAGAAGTATGCCGTAAAGCTACAATCCCTGCATCGACTTTCCACCGTTTTACCACAATTACATTGATGGGGCACGAAACCTTCCATTTCAACAGAGAACTTCAGCAATGTGGATCGCAAGGATTCCCAGTTTTGTGGAGCCTTTCCTTGCGCATTTTGTAGGAGCTGGTGGAGGAAGTGGGCACCACATCATCGTCGGAATCTGGCGGGTCACCATCACACAAAGCGCACGGATCTTCCTCTTCTTCACCTTGTTCCACATCTTCCACACTACGATGTTGCTCTTTTTCCAGAGGCAGAGTAGAAGGAAGTTGGACGGTGGATTTCCGGGTTTTATTTGATCTGTCTACCACTTTAAAGGAGGAAAATCCTTTCCTCTTACCCGGCCCAAAAAACATTCCCATCAAAATCCAATATGGCGTCTCTTACGGGCAATTTAGTTACTCATTCACCCCTCCCCCAGGTCTAGATTTGTCAATAGGTCTATCCCGATTACAATGCATTAATTGACTGGTTACAACGTCATTACAAGTCCAGTAGTTACTGGGTTACAACGTGAGGAACGGGTGGATTCTTCTTCTACCCCAAACAAATTACTGCTGGACAAGGGTAACGAAGACCAAGGGCTCTTGAAACGAGACCAAACTCTACAGCAAGATAGAATTTGGCTTTTTCAACTTAGTTGATAATCAAGGCTGTGCTCTAAGGAAAATTTCAGGGAGCCCTTCGGGCTCCCAAGCGTTTTAGCTTGGGTGCCCAGGCCTAAAAGATGGTCGCCCAAATCAAAATTTCGGGGAGCCCGAAGGGCTCCCAAACATTTTAGCTGAGGTGCCCGGGCCTCCTAGTTGGTCGCCCAAATTAATAAATCAGTCAGTTAATTATTAAAAATTAAACAAACTGTTTTCGTAACGAGTGAAATAGAATTATGTGCATTTATTTATTGTTTAAGAGCAGAACAGAAGTATTTTCTTTCCTATGTTATCGGTGAAATGTTCAAGACAAATGAGCTTTTTGTGGATTCGGTCGATTTTATTTTTAGTGCGTGATACGTAATAACTTGTCACAACACCAAGGACAATGCGGGACTTATAGAGTTTATACCCGTTTCTAAAACAATCACAAAAAAAACGTATCTTTTCTTTTTTATACATCCTGTTTTACTGGAAAAACAATCTTAAGTTATGTTTTTGCCTCGCAGACACGGCAGTAAAAAGCCGGCTAAAATATTAAATTAGCATAGAAGAGCGACTCCCGTGTTTATTCAGCGATTTATTAATCGCCGACCGTACTTTACGCCTATCAGAGCAGAAGTAATAACTTCTTTTGAAAAACTAGCTGATGAGCCATTCCAATTTAAAGGAAAAATTTTAATGCTATTGGAAAAGCCGTTAAAATCGAAAACTGTGCAGCTAGTCAAGTTCAAAGTCAAGGATTATACTACATGTGAATTCACGTGGAACGACCTTTGAACATCAACGCGCGCCCGATGGAACAACATTTTCTTTTAAAAGAACGACTCCCGTGTTCATTTAGCGATTTATTAATCGTCGACCGTACTTTACGCCTGTCAGAGCAGAAGTAACAATTGCTTTTCAAAAACTAACTAACGAGCCATCCTAATTTAAAGGAAAAATTATAATACTATTTGGAAAAGCGGTTAAAATCGAAAACTGTGCAGCTTGTCACGATCAAAGTCGATGATTATGTTACACGTAAATTCACGTGGAACGACCTTTGAATATCAACGCGCGCCCGATTGAACAACATTTTCTTTTTTTTTTTTTTTTTGACTGTAAATCAAGAAACCAACACCAGCCAGTCGCCCGGCTGGGCGACCAAGAAAATATTTTCAGTCGCCCGAGGCCAAATGTTAGTCGCCTCAGGCGACCGGGCGCCGTTAGAGCACAGCCTTGATAATAGAAATTGGCCATTGTAAAAATTGACTAAAACTGACGTTTCGACTGTTAGCCCTTCGTCAGAGCGAATAGGGGAATTGTGGGTTGTGTGTGTTTATTTGCAGAAAATGGAGCTACGCTGTTGGAACAGGGTAAAGAGGAAAACAAGAATAGACCAGTTGAATGTAAATTGTGTTGATACCGTGGGGACCAAGAGCGCCGATTTGATGAATTTTTTTCACCTAGCTACTCTGGCTACAAAAGATATAACGTTCATGCTTGGCAACTTTATCGAGGTGGCAGTGAAAGATTCCCTTATTTCTCTCAGCCTCCCATTTTTAGCTCTCCATGGTAAAACCTGCTATCGGATATTATATTCAAGATGGATTCAGGATTAGAGGAGTCGGGGGGAGGGCGCCAGCAACCTGTCAACGTTATTAACGGTTAGGCACTGTTTCCGTCCGGTTGGTACAAACTCCGGCCGACTTTATTATTAAAATGTACTCCGCACTCCGCCCTCAGGCGGAGTTTAATGAAAATGCAGAGATTGGAATAAGCTCCAAGAGGATGAACTGTCTGGCTTAATAAGACCAGACTTCACTTGGCAGTGGCATAGTGCACTTATTTGTGGGAACAGGGATGGATTGTTAAGATAACACAGACAAATTTTCTATTTTTTGTGATGACTCCTCTTGTGTATAACTGTTTTCACTCCTTTACTTTCCAGGGTTTTAATTATCTGGGTTTTTCTCAGTCAAGTGAACATATGAAGAAATTCTACAGCATTTGATTAAGGTATAATGATGATATAAGTGATGTTAAATCTCTAATTACTGCAGATGTAACTGACTCTTTCAATAATTGTGCTAACTTTTTTTTACCAAAATGCTAATCCAGCATGCTAGCTGCATTTTCAAGGCATAAAAATGTCCCTATTCAGACAAATATCAAACAGTTTCCAATGTATTTTAGGGAGCACCCTGGGAGTTTTACAAAAAGTGGAATACTTTGCATGGGATCAGAGTATCAGAGTCCAAGCCCACAAATATCAATTCATTTATGATAGTTTTGTATAAGGGATAAGCTGACAAGACTAAAATTTTGGTTCTATAAGAAGATTATCATGACATGCCATCTCAGGTATCTCTTGCACCATCTCTCCTTTACCACAAGTATTTATCAAGGAACATCAAGTGTGGTATTTACAAGCATCCATTACTGAAACGTCCCAGCTATAGGCAAATTCGAATGTAAAAGTTAAGGAAAAATTAAGACACAAAAGAAGTATTCCAAATTTTGATGTGTTGTGATGTTAATTTCCCCCACTGGCTTTAGAGAGTATTTAATATCCAAAACTACTTTGTGAACTGACATATAAGAAAACTTTGGAGGAGAAGCAAAATTTTAAAACAGATAACAACCAAAAGTGAAGTTAGCACTCTTATTAAAGGTTGTTAATTGAAATGAATAGGCCATGAGCCAATTAGAGGGTAATTAGAGGGCTAATTTTCAAGTTAACAACCAGGCAAGCTTGATAAGATTATCTCGTAATGTTATGTATGCAGCTGTGTAAAGTCTATATCTGTGTACAACATGAGTGATCTGTGTGACCAGACAAGGGTTTGCTATATAACTATATGTTCATCAAGAACACACATAATCCTTTACTTACATCACTTACTCAGAAGAAATATCATGCAAACAGGTAAGACATGTGGGTTTCATGTCATTGTAATTATGGTATCCATTCTTTCAGCTCATCTGATATCAGATTTATACAGCTGCTTACACAGTACATGAAAGGGATTTTGTCTTCCTTAAGTCCTGGCATGATGTTATACATATGGTATCTCTTGACAGATAGTTCACCCACTGCATGTGCCAGGAAATCACCTTCTTCTCGGTGACCAGGGCACTTAGGTGAGAGGCAGGCAGGTCCACAACGAAACTTTACAATGGGGAAACTCCTCCTGCAAATTCCATCCACCATGGCAAACACCTGACAGCACATCTGAGGGCTTCATCCCTTTATGACTGCTAATTAAGTACAGTAAAAATCATGTGACATATAGGTAGTGAATTAATTAAAGTTTCTCATCATAAGATATGTGAAAAATTACTAACGGTAGTTGATTGATAAAAATTATCCTCATCACAATTAAGGCTCAAAAACTTTAAACAATTTTTTATTAAGCAGTAAGCATTTTATCCCATCTGTAATTTACACTAGTTTTGTATATGATATAAATATTTTAAAGTGGATCTGGTACATGCTATTTGAAGTTGGCACTTTGGTCCTCAGCACCCCTAGAGAAACAATGGGAATTCTATCTGGTTGGTTTTACTCTGTTCAGTGTAAGCTGTTTCTTCAGAGCTGAATGTTCAACTCATTTTTACCCATGAGTGGTGAGGTGGACTGTGAGAGTTAAGCACTTTTCCCAAGAAAAATGATTTTAAAGCCCCATTAGCAATTAGTTTACATACTATAGTTACAGTGAATATCATATATGAATGGACAATAAATGGAAACTCAACTAACCTGGTGAATGTCACTTCAATCATTTTCATGTCTTTCAGTAGTCTTAATCAGTAAGGCTGCCTGGAATTCAACCAGAACATGCCAGTGTGTCTGTAAACTAGAGGTTGACTGTGCCAAAATTCAACTTTACTGTTCTTTTGAGCACGAGAGAGAAGACAATGAAACAAAGGCTCAGGTAGGAATTTCTTTAAAAACACAAAGAACTTTTTTTCTGTGGATCTGTCACTCCACAGTTGAGTGTTCGCATCTGTAGACACTGACAACAATGCGGGAACAAAGTAAGTCGGGGCCAAATGTTCTCTATTCACAAGAACCCTTTTGTATGTCAAAGGGCAGATCAAGTCGTATTCTTCAAGGAATGCAGTCACATCTTCCCTACTTTCCTGTACCACTTTTGAGAGGACACTCTCTAGTAGGAATTCGGTCAGCATTCCTTTGTCTTGCAATAGGTTCCAGTGATGTCTGTTACTTCTCTGGGGGATCCCTTCACGTTGTTGGGTGACAAGCCTGATGATCATATCAATTAGTATAACAGGATTAAGCAAAACCCTCTTTGGTTCTTTGTCGAGGTACATCATAAAACCCTTCACATGGAAGTATTCCAGTGTATCTTCAGTCCAGTTGGTACAAATGAAATTGTCAAATACAGTACGTAGGAAACTCCTCAAACCTCACACAGACTTTCGCTCCCTTGTCACTCTTCATACTGATGAGGGCATCCTGAGAGAGGAATGTTCTGACCGATTGTTTCCTTAAGTTCCTCTGCAGTTGCAATAATTACTCTCTGAAAAGTGTGAATCCCACCATCATTTTGACCCAAGGAGTTTTCAACAGGAAAAAAACCAACTCATCCACTTTGTTTACAACCAGCCCACCACAAAAAAAATTTCCAAAAGTTTCTCTTTAGATTGTCATTGATTCTTTCCATAGTAGCTCTCTCCATGTTGCCTGTGTGTGTTCCCACAAGGAGAATTGGAGTACTTGATGTCACATGGCTACAAACTGACTCAAGCCAAAAATGGAGACTCTTTATTTTTGCAGTCTCTGAGACTATCCTCTGCAAACTCAGCCATGTTAAATACGATGACATAAATAGCTTGACTTCTTAGAAACATATGGAAGTAGGCCTGATACTCTTTGTCGCCTGTTGTTGGGAATACTGATTACACTGTCAAAAATTCCTGCGAATTTGCGGATTTCATAAGAGATAAAACTCTTAACGCTTGTGAAGAATTAGTATCTTTCGACGTTGTTTCGCTCTTCACTAAAATCCTAGTTGATCTTGCCGTTAAGGTTGCGGAGGAGAGACTCAGAGAAGATGCTTCCCTAGGACAAAGAACTTCTTTGCCTGTGGAGGATATTATTCATCTGCTGTCTTTTTGCCTCAAAACCACGCAATTTACATATAACGGCACCTACTATCAACAAGTTTTTGGTACAGCGATGGGTTCGCCCGTCTCTGCTGTCATTGCTAACATGGTAATGGAAGACGTGGAACAAAGGGCCTTAGCCACTTCACCTGTTAAACCCTTTTTCTGGAAACGATATGTCGATGATGTTATTTCTGCGGTATCCGGAAATGACGCGGAGCGCCTCTTGTCGCATTTGAATTCAGTAGAGCCGTCGATCCAATTCACCCTTGAGCGTGAAAAGAATAGACATTTGCCCTTTCTTGATTTAAATGTGTCCAGAGGGGTTCAGGGTAATTTAGAGACAAGTTTCTACCGTAAACCTACCCACACCGACAAATACCTCGCCTTCGATTCTCACCACCCTACTTGTCATAAAAAGTCTGTAGCCAAAACTTTACTTAGGAGGGCTGACTGTCTACCATCTGCACTCGATTCGAAGGCTGAGGAGAGGAAATATGTGTCCAATGTCCTAAAGGCAAATGGCTATACAAAAACGTTTCTCCGTAGCTGCCAAAAACCAGTTACAAATAGTAACGCTCTTGATGAAAGGGAACCAGCGACTGGTTTTGCTGTTATTCCTTACATACAGCGTGTTACGGAGAATTTTGAATAGCCACAACGTTAAAGTTGCTCAAAAACCTTTTCAGACTTTGGGGCATATTTTCGCCAAACCTAAGGATCCTGTCACGAAAGAACAACGAACCGACGCCATTTATTCTATTCCTTGCAATGATTGTGACAACAAATACATCACACAGACCAAACGTCAGTTTGGTACACGGTTAAAAGGGCACCAAAAAGCGGTTTTCCTTTGCAAAAAGGAAAATTCAGCTTTATCGGAGCATACATGCCTAACTAACCATACAATTGGGTGGGATAATTCTAAAATTATCACCACTAATCGGCGTTACCACCAGCGCCTTTGTTTGGAGGCTTGGCATATTAACTCCGCCCACGCTCCTTTAAATCGTGACGATGGCGGTTTGCTTCTTGTCGCCTATTTACACCTCGTCAGAAAAAAGGCCGCTAATTAGTGATCATATAAAAAGACCTCTTGTTGCAGCGTTTAGATCACCCCTGATGAAGGCACTAGACAGAAGTGTCGAAACGTTGGGTCTATTGGGAATTCCATTTGAGATTTGCAGACTTAGCCACAATTCTGGAAGATAACCTGTACCTCCCGAAGGAGCACTGATCCACCAACAAGCCTTCCTCTTTGGTATTTTTCTCCCTCATCGCCCGCCAAGTTTCTCTGTTTTTAGCCGTTTGTTACCCTTGGTGGTGGTGGTGGGTGGAGGGGGGAGGTATTCCCCAGCATAAGCCGGCTATAGGGGTATGTGCCGCTTGCATGGATCTAGTTTTTTAGCTAAATTCAATGGCTGGGGTCTCCGAAATTCTTCAGTTTAGATTGGGATATTCTCTGTGCCTTCACCAAAGGTTACTACGGTAATGTTTTGGTTTCCCGTCCATTCCTTCTGATACCTTCGGTCTGTAATCATACGAGTGATAACCAAAATAGTTTTGATTTGCTAGAAAAGACGCTATGAGCAACTCCATCATACTGTCTTGGAATAGGATCTTTCTTTTTGAGAGTTGTGAAATTATCTTGTGTAAAAGGTTAGTAGTTTGTCTGTGTAAACTTATATATAGGCGGCGAAATGGCAATTGCTTAGTCATGACCTACACTTTTTTTTTCATCTCAGTCACCTTTTGTATCATTATGTTATATACTAGTATTACCCGTCATCTTTCTTTTATTGAAAGTGACTGTCTCATACCCTCACCCAATTTTCATCCAACATAAGTTTATTTGATGTGGACGCTTATTGGAAGAGGTGCGGTGAAACCGTAAAGCCGAAGTCACGTAATTCGGCAGAGAGCTACTGAAGCACTTTTGCCCGCTTTGGCTTGGGTTTTTGTCAAACTCTTTGAGTAGAGGTAATAACGCTTATCAGCACTCCTCTAACTCTAGACCATGGCATTGGGTTTTCTTCACTGTGTTTATTGTGCTTCACTGTGCCCCGACCAAGTAATGTTCAAAACAATCCCAACGTGATCATCTGCGTTTTCCCGCGTTTGAGGTTGTTAAAGATTCAATTTATTGTGAGTTCTTATCAGTTCTTTACTTTCAGCTCTTACCCCCATGTGATGTTGAGCTTTGTAACAAAATGGCGTGATAATAACTCTGTCACGATTCAGAATTGAAAAATACTCTTTATTTAAAAATTTCCGAGGTACTCTTGAATTAAGGGGGTTTGTTGTTTTCGAAATTGTGATGCTGCTATTCACCCTTAATAAGAGTTGGAAGCAATTAAATTCAAGCGCAGATTTTACACTTCGACATGACGCCAAAACTACACGTTTCTGCCTTTCCTATGTGCGTCTTGGTGTTTTGAATATAAGAGTAATTCAGTCAATTAATTTCCGATCAATACGGAACGTGGTTTCTTGTTTATCTTGTTTATCAGAGTGATCGAGCGGCAGGAGCCCATTACGTCGAACGGTGAATAATATTCACCCATTTGTAACCAATGAGAGTAAAAGCAAGAAGGGTACGCTTTACAACAATAAATAATATCGACTTAAATTTGTTTTTACCGAGCAATTTTAGTATTTACATAAAGCTAAAACGTAAGCTCTTATCTTAGTTAGCCGGCAGATCTAGTGCCCAAAGAGGAGGGTGAGGGGAAAGTGATATTTTCGCATGAAATGCGAAGAGAGCGTAAAGCTGGATCGTTGGAATTGTGCTTCACGCTCGAGTGAATTGTCGATCGGAGGTAAGGCGTAATAAAGGAAGAATCGCACTCCTTCCCTCGCTCGTCACCCGCACTTTGCGCTCGCCTATCGCTTGTCTCCGTTCACCTGCTTAACGCAAAAAAAATTACGCCTGTTCCGCAGGCTAGGCGAATTTTCCACCCTTCATCTCCTTTCCACGCTAACGTAACAGGCTTAAATTATTAACTGGAAATATCTACAATGTTGGCCGTCGCCAGACTCCAGTTAACTTTCTCTGGCTTGTGACGCTACTCAGTCCACACACCTCCAGACCCCCGCCTCCAGTTCTTGATTAACATACTTTTTCACAAGGTTTCTACCGTTCCGAAAGAAAGTTGATCAGGAATCTGTCATTAGTAATCACTGAGTCAGTATTACGAGGAGAAAACTTAGAGTTAGAGGAAGTGATAAACTGAAAATGTGACGTTGCTCTGTTGAAGAAGGCATAAAGTTATAACCTAACGAGTCGTTACTTGGATGATCTCGCACAATTACAATCATGTCCTTTGGTCTTGTAGGCCTTAGATTCAGTCTTGATGTTGTCTTATGTGTTGTTCTGGCCTTGGTATCCTGTGTGGAATGTTGATCTGGATTTATCGTGGTGTTTAGTTGATTCTTCGTTCCACAAACTGAAAAATGAACACAACAATGAACAACCATGACACATCCGTCAAAAAGAAGTCATAAATTCAACCATTAATCATCGGTAACTGGTGAGTTAAGTCCCTTGAATACTTATCTCTCTTAAAAAACCTTACTCGAAAAAGTGAGATTTTTCGCTCTTATATCGGAATGGCATCGATTCTTCACTACGCGCAGCGGATAGTCTACAAAACTTTGCTTACACTTATGACCAATCGGATACAAACTTGACTTCTCGACTTCATGGGATATTCTCCTTTCTGATTGGCCGCTGTGATTACTTTGGGTTAGGTTTTAGGACAATGAATCTAAAAGTACTCTTCACTGCCAGTTCAATTGATTTATTGAATGATTAATGATCCATTAATTGGGAAGAAAAAATTTGATTGATTGCTCAATTATTTAATTTATTGATTTATCTTCAAAGCTCATGGTGAATTCGTTTAGCTGAATAATTTTCATAACTTTTTGTCGATTTTCTGTCTTATCTAAAAGAAAGAAAGACGGGTCATAATTCATTGAGAAAAAGCAATTTCCCTCTGTTTCCTTAAATAATAGGTGATGCGCAGTGTATTTGTAAAGACAGTAACATTTGAAATGACTCCCTTGTGCGATGTCATTGACCAGTAACTAGAAAATAAGTGCTACACTTACCGGAATTAGCCATGCTACATCCATAGATTTCTAGTCTCACACAGGGTATTTCGTACTGCCTGGAGAGAAGCGGTCGAATTCGCACGAGCCGAGCTCTAAAGGGCACTGGTAGCTTGTTTTGTCGAGCCCGCAAATTTTTGCGATAACCTTCAAATATCTGAGGAGATAATAATGTCATGTGAGTGTCGGTCAAAGTACATGATCCAAAACAGTTTGTTACTGAAAACGTTACTGGCCAAGCAGGATAAGAGTAGGAAAAACCAATATCCTATGAAGAACTATATTTCAATTTAGCGTCGAAGGGATCCAGGATTGTGTTGGTTTTTCTTATCTGCACATACTATCTGATTGCTCTTGAAATCTCGAAACGTTACTCCGCTCTAAGATAATCCCAATATGGCAGCTTGTTTAGCGTCAAACTCTTTTACGAATATCTCGAAGAATGTAGACGTGGCTAAATTTTGCGGCACCGTGTATTTGGATTCACATGTTCAACTTAAGGGACGTGCTCTCATTCTTCACATGAATATCCAAACAATACACGAGGTATTCTAAATTAATCATGCCCAATCAATTGATCTGAATGATACAGTGTAAGCTCAAAGGCAGTTTTATTGACGACACAAGAGATGATCTTGATTATACTAAGACATGTCACGAGTAGCACTCACCGTTCCTTCTTGATATTCAAACCAAGTTATCCCGTCACAGCTGTAGTTAAGTTTGTATCTCAACGCAATGTTTCCATTTGCTGGGACACCTTGTGTGGCTATTGCGGTGACAATAGAGTTGTTTAACAGATCCACTTGTAAGAAAGGATTCATATCCGCGTCTGCTGCACACCAACCCCCTAGAGATCTATGGTTAAGGCTCCTGGAGAGAAACAAGGAGAGGGGAAAGTGAGAACAGCTTGATCAGAAAGTTTCGTGGATATCCTATAGGAATGAAGCTTACAATCCATGGGGAGAAAACTTTTTCTTCAGCCACCTTATGGTCCAGCATAAGTATGATTAGAGTTGACTCCGAGCAGTTAAGTATTTTTCCACTTTCTTTGGATTTAGACTCAAAAAAAACTTTTGGTTACTAGCAAATGAGATTTCCCGCTGTAAATATCTTATACATTCAGAGGTACGTTATCATTTAAATAACTTCATTGGTGAAGATTTTTATCAGTTTTTAGGTTAATGCACGAGCTAACTTTGAAAAAAAAATCAATTATCGGTACTTAGTCCTGATATATAAGTCGGTTCAATATATCAAACCAAGGATGCCAACTAGACGCTCTGATCGACTGGCAACTCGAAAGACACTTTTTCAAGTAACAAATTATTTAACAAACCACTGATTATGAAGTCGTGCTTCCGATGGTCGGGTCCAAACACTGTCGAAAGAGGAAGCTTTTATTTGCGACTCGTTAATCGCACCAGACTGCATTCCAAGGGCATAAGAACATGCTGTGGAGAATCGTAGTGAGAGAAATAAATCAGACACTTTGAAAATTATAATGCAAGCTTGACTTGAATTATTGCACTTTAATTGAATTGTGGGAGACTCGTTTAGCAATTTTTCTGTTAACTCTAGTTTTGTGAAGCCTCATAGATTGGTTAAACCCCAAGACTAGAAAGCACTGGACAGATTTTTGTTTCAATACGTCACGGTGTTGTTGAGAACATATCATTTCTACAAACAGGTCCGTGTAGATTGCATTTGGTTCAACCTAGCGGACGTTTTAGAAAATAATTTCACGTTAGTTCAGCAGATGACCGTGAAAAGTTGTCAGTAGAAAAAACAGCGCCAAAAGCATTTACTGAGGACTTCACCGAAGCAATCAACTTACCGATGGGAATTGTATTTGTATCAGTGGCTAGGCTGTCAGTGCTACGTGACCTGTTCCCCGTCTTAGAACTCAGCGTTGAAAATTTCGGAGGCAAACCAGTTAATGGAGCCTTGGTTACTGAAGAAGAGTCTGCTGCTGCCTGGCTTGGTGACATTGTAGCCTTGGTAGGGTGTGGGCAGGCTGAAATAGAAGGGTATCATGTTTTTGTCGGTTAATATAAAGAACAGTTTTTTCTGCACAAAAAACACTGACTTGTAGAAAATTTGGTCACAAAATTTTTCTGCGCTTGGTCATGATTTTTTATGCCGGCTTGTTAAGGTCTTCGTTGGAACACTGAGTTTTTCACTTTGAACTTGATTGGCCGTTGGAATTATTTCTAGGACCTTCCTTGACGAATAATTTCCATTCACCGTTTATGCTCTAAAAAGTAGATGATCCAATCCTCAATGGATTGATCTTCGCTTTTTTCCTGTTACCTTGGCTTGTTTCGCATCCATATAATTCCAGTCTCAGACAAATGGTTTCCAGCTGATTCCATTCCAAGGGCAACACTCTAATGAACCGAGCCAATATGGAAGGTGAAAGCGTGTTCGTTACCACACTATCAGAATCATTATTTGCCTGAAATATCTGCAAAAAAAAAAGTCGAACACAGTCATTACTGAGTCTGTACTCGAGCTAAGCGGCCCATTTAACCGAATGTTATCTAACATTTATTGCGTGAAACGACCACGATTATTGCTACTCTTCCTGGAATGAATAAGATGCTGGTGTATCGCAGATCACCACCTCCCGACCTTTTGCCCAAAATCTCATCATGATTTCCTGACAATGCCGACGCCCATTTATACTCCACGACAAGGAAAGATACTGTGAGAGTACTAGAACCCAGGTCTATCAGAAGTAAAGCGTGCTAGTCCCAGTCCTCCATATTTACTGAGTTTCTCGCAACTTATTGTTACTTACAACAGGTACTCCTTGAATGGCATAAGAATGCCATTTGATTCCATCGCAACTGTAGTTCAAAGAGTATGACGCCACCCAGTAACCAGCCATAATGATGTCAATTCCCTGAGAAGCTACAGCTGACACGTTTGTTGTCCTCTGTAAGTCAATTTGAAACCACTGATCCAAGTCCACGTCTTCTGCACACCAAGCCCCGAATGAGTTCGACGTTCTAGGATGAAATCATGTTAAGGCATTAATCTGTTGTATTGAAAAGACAGCTGCTGTTCAGCTGCTTTTATTGTGCCAGAAAAGTTAGTTTTATCGAGCCACATGACACCTTCGCCAGAAATAGTTGCAAGTTCGTTTTGGCTCTCTAAATCAACTCTTGCTTTTGCTCTATTTACATTGGGTAATTTCTTTTCATACTTGAATTGGATACCCGACAGAGAAATTTTCAATTGAGTGCCGGAAGTAATCCATGATTCCATTGGTTTTGCCTAACATGCTTCGTGCTGCACTGACTCCAGAAGACTCGCGCCACTTCCTCAACCAATCAGATGCAATTCTTAGGTATTGAATTAGTTGTGCAGACTTTTGGAACCATTTAATGTATCTTTAGTCTCTCCACATCGTATAAAACATCATCAAATCAGAATGTAGTTTACTATTGTGCTGATGATACTCACAAATTGTTATGAAGTCGTCCTTCAGACGGCAGCAACCAGTCGCTCATGGATGTAGATGCCGAAAGCTGCGAGTCATGTATTGAGCCTGACGCCAAGCCAAGAGGCGATGAGCAACCTGAAAAAAATAGAAAGCCTCGTCTTACTTCTTTTTTGATTTAGGAGGGATGTAAAAGTCACCGGCAGTGGCATGGTCTACTTGTTAGTCATTCAGTCAGTCCGCGAGTCAGTGAGCGAACAAGCCGGTGATGAGTTGGTCAGGTAGCAGTCATCTAAAAATGTGAATCGAGGCTGACTAATTAGCATTTTTTGCTGTGACCCTATCTCAGTTTGCACACAGATGACCATATGTTTAACTCCTCTTATCTTACTCAAAACCAGTTCCGCAAGCGAAGAATGTCGCAGGTGTAGGGCTTAATTGTTGAATAACTGCTCTTCTGTTTCAAAGCAACGCCAATTAAAAATGGTTTTGTCAACGTAATGAGAGACTACCGCTTGAAAGTTTTCAAAATCGATACGCTAAAGAAAGTTTCTGGGAAAGAAGCAAAATTACAAAATGATAAGTGCTCCTGCCGAGATCATTACTGTGGAAGAGTGAGAGCAACAGAAAGAAGACGTAAAAATAAAGGTTTCTACGGGTACTTTATTCTTAAATTTCAGTCATTGTTGGCAGTCACCGCTGATGTGTTTCTAAATCAGTGGTCCACGAAGAAACCTGATCTTTCTACACATGTTTTCTCAATTAAATATTACAGTTTCCGTAATAGATTTGAAAAATTCTTATTTTCTCCTCGCTAATTTGGGGAACAGTTGTCGCGGGCACTCAATGCCATTGAGCCACTCTCCCCTACTTTCTTATGTTAACGGATGGTCATAGCTTGGAGGGTATTCAATTCCGAGTCAGAGTGTTTACTTTACAACAATAGCGAGCTGGGGGAAACTGTCAAAAGTAAATTAATTAACTGCTAATGAAAAATAATGACCTGTCTGAAGCTATTCATCACTCTGGACAGCCGACAACTCAATGCTGATCGATTGATCACAGAACAAGAGGCCTGTTTACGGGAGCAATGCTCAACATCTAGGGCCTGGTGAACTGATTTAATCGTCTTAAAAGTGATTTAACTGGTGGGTATTTCATAGAGGACCCGTTTGATTAAAACTTTGTCTGATAAAGGACGACGCGTGTCTCAGAAAGTTTTTGTGTTTCTTCTAACTGCGGCCGTGCAAAGGCTGCAATCATCGCACAACAGTTTCGGCCATTCTTAGAGCGAAATTTTGAAATGAAACAGTTGTTTCTAGAGGTATTAGGTAAATTTCGTTCAGTGAGGACTGGCAGTTTTATTGCGAGCTAAGATGTTGTTAGCTAGCTGAAATATTCCAAACTTCGCCCATATACCTGCGATTAAGCGATAAGCTAATTACACATAGAGGGCTGACCAAAAGCCCTCGTTTTACACGATTTCTTTGTGTCTTCTTATAACGTTTTGGAACCCTATTCCTCTCAATGCAGGCGATTTAGTGGGAAAAATCATCGCTATTCTTTCGAAACACACAACAACCTCAATAAGTTTATTGATTAGTCAAAAGTGCACATTTTAAGCTTTAGTCTGGTGTCAATTAGCTTTTCAGACAAGTAACCGACAAGTACATCTACAGCTTCACTCGGATCTGTTTTCGTGCCGCTGTTCCTGCGGTCTTTCAGTACATTTGTATCATTTCAAAGCAGAGATGTTCAGTTTCGACTGTTAACCCATAATACTGCAAGAGCTGTATTTCTGTCCAGTTTAAGTTGTTAAGAGAATGATCAATGAAAACTATCACCACAACGCCCTTAAACAAAAGCATGCCGCGAAGGTTAAACGCTCGTATTGTCAGCAGTGAAACATTTCAACGGTTCACTCAGTTTTACTCACGTGTGAAAGATGTCCGATCAAGACAGAAAGTCCAGGGACTTCGATCTGCGACTAAATTTGATTGGATCCATTTAAAAACTGACTAAAACTCGGGTTTGTATTTTGCATTTTGGCCCAGGTTTGTTACTTTGATCGAATGGTTTGGCTGACGTGTATCACAGATATCTTATCGGGTTCCTTTCACCATTTACGCACTGGCTTCAATGAAAATGATTCAATAATTTATAACAGAAGAAGTGTACTTTAACTTATTTAAATATAGTTAAGGGAGTCAATGCTCAGTTTGCAAGACGAGACTACAATACTAGCTGCGTTTATACGAAACGAACAATCACTTTCCTAACTTGCCTACATGGACATAAATCATTAATATTTTCCTCGTTAAAAGTTATATGCCACAAATTTCAAAGTGAGATAGTGTTAGAGAACGAAAAATAACTCTACTCGTTCTAAGATCACTCAGATAATTTAACAATAAAGTCTTGGCAAGGAGAGAGAGTGAATTAAGACCCACAAATATTTTGTTAACCGCACATTCTCGTGCTGTAACATGAAAAAATCCCGACTTCAGATTTCATCTCATTTGGATACGAACTCAGTGAGAATACAAGTGATTTAGGAGAGCTAAATAGAGGTATTAATCAAAACTGGTACTTGTGGGAGGACGCGATAGTGGATTAATCAGAAAAGCAAACTGAAATACGTCAAGACTGCCTTAAGCTATGGGGAAACAGTCTTCGGTTTTCCGGCCATGTTTCACCCAACTATCTAGGAATGCTTCATGGCCCTACGAATTTCTTAGTATTAATAAATACAGCAATTTCGTTTTTTTAGCCGTTTAGAGGCGTCAAACTTAAGTTTCTCTATCCTATAAGGGGCTTATGTTAGCTATAACTGCGGCTTAATTGCCACCCGCTGTACGGGACGAGGAACATTTTTTGCCGTCAAGTGGAATTGAAATCTACCCTGATTCCTGTTTTCAATCGTGGCGGCGTATCGAAGCACTTATTTCAAATGCATTGCGGAAAGCTATAGAATTCACGGATTTTCCCTCTCTTGAACGACACCAAAACCTTGAAAACGGATAGAAAAGTGTGAATAATCTCTACTCGACTAGCTTACCTGCGATAGCTTCCTCTGTGGCTGTGAAATATAAAACAAACACGAGAAAAATTGTCCAACGCATCTTCGCAAAGAATTTTACTCCAGCCCTGAAGAGTGAGCTTCAAATAATAAACTTAACCTCTTTGAGGTAATTCTACTTCTTCACTTCTCTACAGATCCACGCTTCGACCTCGGCGAGGGTTTTTGGGCTCTGATTTCACACATAGATCTTCACTTTGTAATATGATTACAAATTTAATCCGCAAAATCCGCAAATCTGTTGCCCTCAAGGGGTCACAGCGACAAAACCGGAAAGGCGGCGCATTGTTTACGCTCGAAAGTATGAGCCGGGTGTGTTGTAGTCATACATCATGATCGATCACTGTCTGGAGGCAGCAAATTGTAGGGCTGCAAGCGCGGTACATGTTACTGAGAGGACATTCGCTTGTCATAAACAACCTGGAAAATGCACCTTGGTGGCGCTGAGAAATATTTTAATGGCGAAAGAACAATGCAGAGTGGTTTTAACACAATGCAATCCTCGAACGGGACGTGCTTTCCGCTTTGCCACTTCGTACAAGAGCTAAGTAACAGTTTCGGACACTGAATTTTCATGAATAGCGTAGAACGGCATCCAGGGTTCTTTCTTCCATAGTTTGCCTGTTTGAAATTGTCGCTCTTGCTCTGTAAGCAATTTCGTAAATGTCGTAAGCTATGAAACCTTAGACCTGGGGGGTGTTTCTCCTGTTCTTCTCTTAATGGGTCATAAATCGTCTTTAATTCGACAGTTGACGGAGTTGAAACAAGCCATCTAAGACATCAGCTAAACGCAACTTTTGGCGTTCCTCCTCGCAATAGTTGAGAGTAAAATTTAATTGAATAGCGATTAGATGAAAGGTCACTACAGTTATGAGTTACCAGCCATTCGCATTTTTTAAATGTTAGTCTTTATTCAGAAGGTCAGAGGTATCTTTTTCCAACATTCCCTTCACTGTGTTCATCCTCCACCGATATGTTACGAACTCGCATGATAACCGGTTTCCAAATGGCTTGAAGAAGCACTGCGTGTTTTTTCAGAGTCGCATCCCATAAAATCTTAATTTTGTTAAATTTTCTCTAGTTGTATACATAATAAACTTCGATGATCTTAGTCCTCATAAAATATATAGTTCGCTGTAAAAATATGTTTTTGAATGAAAAGTGAGACCACTAGTCCCTTATAAATCAGTTATGTTTTACTCTCAAGGTATCAAAAATGACAAATGTAACCAATGTTATTTAGCAACTTTCAGGGCTATTGCAAATGGGTAAAGTATCATAATCAAGTGGTAGAAAAGAGAGGAATATTTCAGCGGTTAATTTATGGAGCTTTCCTCCGGACGGAATTCGCACTGTCGGTCAGTGTTGCTTACGAACTCTCTTATCGTTAAGTGGTCTTTATCCCAGATTAAGGAATTTTTTCTGCATCCTCGGCGTTTCCGTTTCTAACAGTTTTGGTACTTGATGGAGGAAAAAAGCCCCCGATTATCATTAGCACTGTGTTAACTTTGGAGTCAGGGTAACGAAGACGTTCACAACGCCAACTTAAGCATAAGCATCATTTTTTTAAACAATTTTTGGGAATCGTATTGGTATACTATGTTGATAAAGAGAAAAATGATTTTAAAAGTTCTAATTTTTAGGAGAGGTTCATTATAATAGTAGCTTTGTGAAATTACATTTGTTTATTTATCACATCACTTTGAAATCAGTGGTGATCCTTGCCTTCCTGTGGCAATCTACATCTGTTTGGCTTATAGCAGTGCAATTTTGCACACGAATCGCTCTATTTTGCGTTTTAATCGCATGCCTTTTCCAGCCATTGAAAATGGAACACTAAAAAAATCAATCAGAATTCATGGCTGGCTTAAAGTAACCAAATAGTTTGCAGCAAAATGAAAATGAAAGACTCGACAAGCCATTTTGTGGCGAATTGTGCAACTCTTGTCGCAGAATCTTTGCTTAAAAACAATGAAAAAAAATGCGATTTCAAATTGATTGTAATAATTACGTGACATTTAAACTACGAGTTAAATTTCGATTGTTTGTTTATCTTGTAATATTTTGTGTATCAAAAAAGGCTTGACTAAATGACTACTTGGGTTAAAATAACGTTTTGGTGCGCCAAGAAAGACCTTTTTCGTTCCGTACCATTTTTCAATTCTGTGAAAATTCGTTGTCATGGCCACTTTGATTTGACATCTTTATTTCTTCACCCGAGCCAGCGAGTTCAGTAAAACCATATGCATGCCAGATAATTCTTATATCGTATGGCTTCGAGTGCGATAAATACGATTTAAACCTGCTACACCCAAGCCAAAAGGTTAGACGGCAATTAATAACTGTCCACCGAAGAATTCTCTGACTCAGACACATCATGACATTGGACATCAATTATTTCAACTTGACACTCGAAACCCGAAACCCTTCTTGTTTCACTAAGAGTTGATTTATCATTTCGCTTCACTGATATTTTTTGTCTCAGTTCGAAAATTTTGGTCTCTGTAGATAAACATCGAGCTGCCTTTGTTTTCGACTATGCGTCTTACCCTTAAATTAAAAATCAATCGATCTTGCAGTTAAGATCTTTTTTTTTGTTTGAAATGTGCGTGCTATTTTCATAAAAGAAATGTTTTGTTGTTTAGTTTGATTTTGAAAGAGGTGGATAGCTGATATGTCTCATTTACGCTAGGAAAAACTTTATATTGGTTTAGTTTTCATCCTTTACGTAGCCTTTAGCAAAAATGAGGAGTTCTCTAAACTAACCGACTTAAGCTTTTCGACCGAGGGCTAACGAGAAAACAAGAATTTTTTTAAGTTTTAGTAAATTTCTCAGATGTCTGTTAGGATATTGTCCACTTAGTCAACAACCTGAACTATTTAAGATAAGAGATTCCTCAGATGTTTTCAGTGACTTGAACGACTTCATTTAAAGCAAAAGAGAATTGAGACCAGTCAGAAACAACAACGCCAGGACCTCTTTCTTCGTAACTGAAAAGCATTACAGCAAGAGATACAGTTGAAACTGTATCAAGCGGCACCTTAGTAAGCGGTCACCCTGTACATATCAGCGGTCGCTTTTCAAAGTCCCGAAATTGCTACCTTTAATTATTGAAATTTTCACCTTTGACTGAGTCCCAACAGCCCCTTTGTATTGTCCTTCACCTGAACTGAACGGTCGTTAAAAGCGACACCACTCAAATGAAACTAAGAATAATCTTCCAAGTAAAAATTTAATCCGATTTTATCTCCCGAAATCAATTTTGGTAGTATTCCTGAGAGAGTTTTAGTACATTAAGTGATGAATTATGGCATAAAATAGCGATTTTTATCGTTTTTGAAAATACTCCTATTCCGTGGAACCTGTATTAGGCGGTTTACCTGTATTTAGCGGTCACCCCGTGTTCCCCTGTGGGTGACCTCTCAATATAGGTTCGACTGTATCTTTGCAGTTGAGTTTGGAGCGTATTGTTTTCGGAAAAATACATTACCTCTCAAAGAAAACGGTCGTGTTGAAACATGCCTTGAATATTGTGTGTCTACCAAATAATAAATCTCAAATCGTCATTCTATTTACAGCAAAAACTCAGTGGTCTATAATCACCCTGATCTCATAGTTCAACGAGGATTTGATAGATCAGGAACGGCGCAAAAATTTTTAGGAGACACGAAGCCGAATGAAGGAAAGTACTGCTAAATGTGTTACGACAGCAAAATAATTTGAATATTGAATCTGACATTTTATTATTTTGTCCTGTCGGTAGACTTTCCACCCGCTTGGTTCTATCTTACTTTTTTCTATTTTAAGAGAAGGACGTGGCACATAAATACTTGTAATTTTCATTTCCGAACTGGAAGCAAAGGAATTGTAAGCTTGATCTATGTCATGACCGCTCAAAAAAACTTTCAGAAAGGCTTATTTTGCATAATTACAGTTATGTTTATACGAAAAATCAAACGGAAGTCTGTGTGATTTTTTTCTCATTGATTATTAAAATGGACTTCCGTGAGTGATATTTGATTAGCAAGGCTGAAAGGAAACTGAGAAGTTTGTTGCATAGCTTAAGCAAGCAAGCTGAGATGGAACTACCATTGCTTGCTTAGGGGGGTTGCATTATCTTATCTGTACTAGGTTTAATTTTCTAATTTGATTCTTGTTATTTTTTTCATCACTGGGTTGACCTGGTGATTCGATAGTGAAGTATACCGTCAACAAGAAACGCCAGGAAAGACAGAAAACCAATAATCTAAAAAGCAAAGAAGAAAAAAAAATTAAATAAATTAGACAACATTAAGACTGAAGTACAAGTTGAGGATACATACATTCAGATTGCAAACTATTATATGGGAATAACCTGTAAATGGGTGTTGGTGGTACCAGACACTTAGCAGGGATGAACGACTGATCAGTTAAGCGCTTAACCAAATCCGTGAACGTGATGGTGGGCCCGGTGAAATTTTCATAAAGTGGAATTTCATTTTTCTGCTTTGATGTAATATAAAACAATTTCCCGGAAATCACAACTCACACGAAGCCCCCTTTCATGATGACCAGCTCGCCAAAGTAATTTGTTCCTCCATCTGAAAAAGGCGGTTAACCCACCGCCTGGATTCTTTACAGTGAAAATTTTGCTTTGTAGTCCACTCACTACGAACTCAAATAAACTCTAAGAAATCAGATGCCTGCGAAACTCAGGAACATCGATACGTGTTGAGAAATAATATTGTAAGTATACCACAATATTTATATCCTTTAAAGGGATAGATTAGTAGCTTCTTGGGGGCTAGATCGTTTATTTATCAAATAAGAGACCATGATTTCATAAATTATCAATTTTTTCTAGATACAGAGATAAGAGGGTCAGCGATATACACCTCAGCCCGACTTTCCCTTTGCCACGCCCTTGGTCTACAATATTTACCACAGCTGCTTGAGCATGTTGGTAGCGCCACTGAATGCGCTCATTCTTTGATGTATCCCATTTGTCTTCCTGAAGACTGAGCACCACTTCACCGAACAGTCCTGACGAAACAGCACAGAATACAGCCCAGGTCAGTGAGAACAAGGTCACCTTAAAAGCAGCAAAACATTAAGAATATATTAAGGATTTATTCAAGGTCGAGAATACTTTAGTTAGTCGGCACAGACATTTCAGTGGCAGATCCAGAGGATGGCTCGGATATGTTTTTATATAAACTTTATTAGGCCATCGACACGCTTGGAAACTGTCTCGAGAAACTTAGTACTTTTCGTATAGTCAGATTAAAAATCGACAGAAATGAAGATGTTTAGCCTGTAAAATGAACCGCATCCATTTTGTTTTAATTAAAGAAACAATTTGCGTTTAGCTCGCACAGGCTGGAAGCACCGCCCAAACAGTTGTCCCCCTGTTAGCCCTCACCTATCTTACCCCATCAATACCAAGATATAGGTATTGATTCTTCGCGCTAGCTGCGACGCATTTCTTACACTTCAAGATTTGAGAAATGAGTATCAAATGGAACAAAATCCCTTGTTAATATTTCTATTTCTTCTCGCCATCTCTGTGCTTTACAATGAACGACAAAATTCCTCTTAGGTCACTAATGGAAGTGAAAGAGTCAGAGTAAAAGGAAACCCACCCGCAAGCTGATGAAAATGGCAGTATTGATATCGGCGCTATATAAGTATTATTATTATTATTATTATTATTATTATTATTATTATTATTATTATAAAGCATAGCTGTCGAATGGTTGCTGCCGGTTTCTGTTGCATGAAAAGACCATGGGCAACTCTACTCCCTTAAGTTGGATGCCAGGCCATCAAATTTAAACCCGGTATTTCGTCGTATCTCCCCGAAAATCCTTTGGTAGTCGTCTGTTCTCCGAATTGGAGAGGAGCATAGTGAGAATTGAGTTTCTTACCTAGGAACTCAGCACAATTGTCCTTTGTCATAGCCCGCACCTTCTGTTAAGGCATAAAGTATGCTACCCATTTCACAGCCTGTGTCCCACAACAAAATGGATTTAAGTACTTACAAAAAATGTAAATCCTTTTGGTGATCCACATCTCTTATCCAAGTTAAACAGAAAGCTGACAAACAGGAAAATAGCAGTCACAAGACCGGTGATAAACACTACATAGAACAGGCTTAACCTGTTTGTTTGCCACTCAGGCAGGTTTGATATATCTGCATCCTTGTGGTACTGAGCAGTACATGCGACAGCGGCTGACAGAAGGGCCTGAAATTAAGAAAGCATGATTTATAACAGAAAAAAAAAGGAATCGTTGCGTTAATTTGCTGGATTCAAGACAAGCGAACCAATTTGATGTCTTCGATAGATTCCGCCCTTTGAGGTTCAAGATTGAGTTGTGCTCAGGTAATAAAACCATACAGTGCTGCTTGAAAATTATCATTTTTAGTCGGCGTAACAGGTGTATTTTGGGCATTCAGGGAAAATGAAGGTGGTGGCCGTGAAAGAAAAAAAAGCTTCCATTCCAATCGCAGCTCCGTCGCCGAAGACCTCTACAAAACCTTCAGTTACACAGGCTGCTAATTCACCTCCTCATTGAATTTCGCTCATTCTCTATTTGAGCCTCTTTTCCAGTAAAATTCAAACAGACTCCTTCTTATGGCAGAGGTGAGTTTCACAAAATTTGTGATTTATATCTCCACCATTATTATGCATATATGATTAAGATTCCAAAGAGTGGTATTGTCGTTCAAAAATTGCCTTCAAATGTGTTAAAAATGCCACAACAGATACGGCCAGTTTGAAGACTCAATGTACTTGACTGCTGAATACAGGACTTTGGTCTGTATCAAAATTGTGTTGATGTAGTTGTAACAATAGAGAAAAAAAACTGATTTGTGAATTATTGCATTACAGAAATCTGTAATCTGATTGGTTGTTTTGCTTTTGGCTTTCATTTTCATTGGCTGAGAAAAAGAAACAACTCGGAAGAAAAAATAATACGATTCATGAAGAAATCGTACTGCTGAGAGGCAATGAAATTGCTAGGATCAGCATTGAATTTAACATTTCCACGGTGAATATTTTTACACACCAGTTCTAAAATTTTCAGCATTCCCTCGGGATCCAACAGATACATCAAGTTTACAGTCTCCATTCTTAGCTTCCTGTTAACAAAGTGATCCACTTAGTTTATATTATTTGAAATCCCTGGAAAACGAAACATGATAAAAACAAAAGTGCAAACATAACTTAATGCTAAAATTGATATTATACCTTACCACAGTAATGTCATTATGGCATTAGCAAACCGATTAATTAGCGAGCTGTTTTAGCTCTGCGCAGTGTCTGGCTGCGACAGCTCACCTGAACGTACTATTACAATAACTCCCAATTCTGGGGCGGATCCAGGATTGGTTCAGGTGGTTCGGCCGAACACCCTACAATGAAATGAAAAACATTTCAACACGTGCGGTTTCTGTCGAGTTTGATGGACACAGTATATGCTTAAAATAGCTCAAAACAGAGATTGTTTTCAATGGCATTAACCACAATCATCGGCTCAAAAAACCCTGGATATTACCTTTCCGAGGATCTAGATTTCAAAATGTTCTGGTGGAAGCATGCCCCCGACCCCCTTGTATAGTCTCCCTTCAGCAGACGTTTAGCCGAGCCCCCGTTCAGTACATCCTGGAACCGCCCTAGCAATCTAACGGGGATAAAATTTATAAAAACGTTCTCGCGACGGATGAACAAACAGTCCGCCAGTCAGAGCCAGAATGATTCAGTTGTCAGTAAGCCACTTAGTTATTCAGCTGGTCAATCAGGCAGCTACTCAGTCACTCGGACGGCCTCTCTGTCAGTAAGTTAGTCAGTCTGTCAACAAGCCAATTTTGTTTCATGAACTGAGTTGAGGATGCAATTGGGCCACCGCAGAGTTCCTAAAGCTGATATTTCGAGTGGTAACCTTTCGTCTACTCGCTCTGGCGAAGGGCTGACGCGCGAAATGTCAGCTTTAAAACTCGCTTCAGTGGCCAATTTACAATATAGACAGACAGATAGAAATCGTCTTAAATGATATGGTGGCTGCACACACGATTATCTTCACTAATTACTCACTAAACACTAATTATTCAAGTAGGTTTAAAATCCAATTCGTTAGGCACTCAAGGTGAACTAACAACCTTTGTTGTCGTGAAGATGTCAGACATATAGACATTAGCTTCTCTATCAAGTTTAACCATCAACAAATGAAGTTTTCACCCAACCGACTGATATATAAACACAGACATAGGCAATTGCCCACGAGTTGTTTGACTGATTTATTAAACATAAGTCAATTTAAGACGTAACTCAAAAAATTCGTTTGTTTCGTAATTGTTGGAGCATGCATAAGTAAATTTGGGAGCGAATTTGCGTGAAGAACAACCAAGAAAAAATTGCACCTGATATAACAGAAAATTATACAAGATGAAATCTGCAGCGATATTAAAATGAATGGCAGCCCGGAGGTAAGTGAGTTCTGCAAGTATTCTTCAAAATTCATGCGGCCTATATCACTTGCAGTATGTTCGCAAGCATTCCAGACTTAATATTTTCATCCCGGCGGGTAAAGAAGAATCCAAAAAGCAATTCAGCTTACAACAAGATTAACTAAATTTCATTCGATCAGCAAATCAGAGTAGGTAACTGCGAGCCTTACCTTGAGATAGAGACTCTGACTTTCGCACGACTCACGTCTATTTACCATTCGCTGCACTTACTCTGTATTCAAATGAGTGGCAGCGGAGTCTTGAAAATCTTTGAGTTAAAGTTCAGAAATGGAGCGCTTACGTCAGAAAAATTTTTCATGACGTGCAAACGCGCCACGGGTATCTCAAAGGACCGAGACTATAATGAGTTCAGTAACGATTGAAAAAACTCAAGACGTAAGCACAAATCTAGAATTAACAAATACCTACGCCAAAGAACGGGATTTTAAAACATGCTGTATATGAGACTTTCCATATAGATTCAGGGTCAGATTTTTAACGCACGAATCGTAAATCAGCCCATCGAATTGTATTAAAATTAGATGTGGAGACCACAGATCAGAGGAAGCGGAGCGTTTTGACAAGTGAAGGTATACATCGGGTTAGGGGCGTGCGTTTCTCTAATTTAATAAAACCCTTTTTTCCGTGGGCTGGGCATGAACACAAATATTTATAACCAATTTTTTAGGCATGAAATGGTGTCGCTATTTTATGACACAAATTTCCTTTCTTGGTCATTGCTTTCGCACTTTTTTCCTGTTTATTTAGATATAATAAAGTATTTTAATGGACAACACAGCCTCTCAGAAACATCCTTCATTTGGTTTTATGTGCTATAACTAAAAAAAAAGAAAAAAAAAAGAGTTTGACGATCCTCTTATTTTCTTCAATTTGCAGCGTTATTGAAGCTTTCCTTTTTTAGTTAACAAAAATCAAATTAATGACATGTAAAAGATGTAAGGGTCCAATTCGTCATAAAGGCTTTCCAGTCCACAAATCAGAGCTAACCAATTGGCGCAAAATGCATGAAAACTCCTGCTAGGAGAATAATCTATCATCATATTCTTTTATAAAATAATTAAAATAGTACGCGCGCTCTGATTGGCCATAAAACCATTTTACATGAGCGTATGTAAACACGGTTTTCATTCCTCTTTCATTAGTTATTTTGTAAAAGAAATGTAAAATGGTTTCCGTGTTTGCATAGCCTGATGTAAACACTTGGGAGGTTGGGAGAACACTCGATAAACTGGAAACCACTCCGCTTCGCGTCGTGGTTTACGCTTATCTCGAGTTTTCCCAACCTCCCGCGTGTTTACATCAGGCTATGTAAACACGGAAACCATTTTACATTTCTTCACGGACAAACAGTAACTTACATTTGCCGTATTGAGAGTAGGTTATTCTTTTAAAAAATAAATGAGAAACTAAAATATAGATTTCTATCGGCTAAGTTTAACTCTCACAGATGAAAAGTAAGCAGGTTATCGAAAGGTATTGTGATGTAGTGTCCAATTCACAGTATAAAAGGTTTTTTTTTTCACTTTCTCTACTTTTCTTGTTATGCGGTAAAAACCCCCGTATTATTCCACTCGATCAGCACGTGATGATCGAAGGCAACTACGTAAGCTATCCGATCAGAATGTTGAATTTGGAAAAATTATCAGCCGAGTTCACTAACAACTGAATTTGTTTGACCTCGCTTTCTGTCAACTCTGTGAGGTAAATTATCTGCCAATAGAAATTTCAATCTCATTGCTCAACTAAAGAAGGGAATATTAACAGATTTTAGATTTCAAACTCCGTACCATCTGGAAAGTATAAGATCTAAATGGCTGACGATAGGGGTTAATAGTCTGTTACGTACGCTTTTTCAGCCATTGGAACCTCCTCTTGTAATTAAAATTCCATGAACCTTCGAACCTAATTTAAACTAGTTATCATCTTTTGTTTGAAAGCTTATTCAGGCTGCCATTTGATCAAAGAACACAAATTTAAAATTTTTACTTCCACTGCAGTTGCCATTTGAAAAAATTGTTCATACTTTAATCCAGAACATAAAGTTTGAATAGCACACACGTCACTCATATGGTTGAAATTCAGCAGTCAATAAACGGATTTTCCCGTTTGCAAATGAGCTAGAAATTCTGCATTCTTAATTTCCCGATCATTACACAACCTGTGTTTAAGTATGCTTATCATTAAAACACTAACGACAGTCTCGAGCTTATATTTTAACACACCGGATAATTACGGCTATTCGTGCCCAATATGAAAACCAAAACTAAACAGGAATACAAAGTTATACTCTGAGTAGATTCAGTCGAAACTGTACATCATTAAGTACATCGTATTAAGCGGTCACCCTATATAAGCGGTCGGTTTTGCCTGCCACTTATATTAAACGGTCACTGAGAGAGGAACCACTCAAATAAAACTAAGAATGATCTATCATGTGAAATCTAATTCATGTTTATCTCCAGACATCAGGGTTAGAAGTATTTTTTGAGCCAGTGTTTGTACATTCAGTGGTCAATTATGGCATAAAATAACGTTTTTTCATCGTTTTTTATACCCCTATTCTGTGGAACCTGTCATAAGTGATCAGCCCACGATTCCCCGTGGGTGACCACTTAACACAGGTTCAGCTGTACTTCATAATTGCAAAGCAAAAGAAAGTCATGATCTCTCTTTAACATTATTTACAGTTGAAACCAAAGATAGAGATTACCGACGGAGGCTCAAATTTTTAAGTTTCTTCTGTATGTACGGTATCAAAGGAATGCGAGTCGTCTTAGAGATAGCATTAAAGTACTCTTGCAGTTAAGAACTGTATATTACAATACGTTTTGGACTGACTTTTCACTACATATCTTTGTTCTCCATGGCCAGCTACACGCAGCGTATGCACAAAACCTGAACTATAAAATATCATAATCAAATCAAATGATTTAAGCTCATCACTGTTAAGTTAACTTGATTTACAAATATCTACATCAGAGCATTCTTAAATACGTTAGAAACAATAGTTAAAACATCAGAAAAAATATTTCAAGAAGACATAATACTGAGCCATCGCAACCAAACATTCATATCAGAGAAGCATTTTCTACTCTCACCTGCTGTTTTACTTATTTCAAGAAAATTGTTTAAAGGATCTGGTAAAAGCTTAAATTAGATAACCTGCGCAACTAACGGCGACAGGCGGCCAGGGTAATGCCAGTTACTCAGTAAAAATAGAACCTAAAAATATTGAATAAATACTTCAATAATTGTCATCTCAAAAGTTACACTCGATTATCAGAACTTTGACACCTCAAAAGCAATTAAAAACAATGAATGATAAGACCCATCGGTTCTATGGGTATACAATTATGATAACCACACAGGGTGCACCTGATAAATGAGGAGGGTTATCTATACTTCTCTAAAAATAAAAAATATTATCGTAGAGAAGATTTAGATAAATAAATCACTGATTGTGGGGATGTACGAACACTGATCAAAGTTCATGCTTTCTAGGTGCAGTAGCAGATCCCAAGATCTCTAAACTTCTTGCCATGACAAGATCACATAAGATAACCTCTTAACTGGCTGAATTTCTTTGTTCATGTAACCGAGTGTGTGAGGGGAAAGAGGGGAGGGTTGCAGAGGTAGGTTGGTCAAGAAGGAATATTGGGTCACTCCTTTCAAAGCATTCCTGGATCCAACCCTTGAGATGTCAAAATTCTTAAAATTAAACGTATTAAACGTTACACTAACATGGGTATTATGAGCCTCTGAATTGCTAAATAACCTCAAGTACGTATTCAGTTAATATTCTGCTCCAGTTGACTCCACAGGTTGACCATCATCATTATTATCTCCCTCAAATGATGTTGGCTGCTTTGCTGCCGATGTGTTCCTGTTCTTCAAGCAGAACAGTACAGTATCCACAGCAAACAACACCATTGTAATGATTCCAAATGCCTGACACACAAAAAAAAGGCAAATATGAGTGTTACTGACCCAGTGTGAGGTCTAGATTGTACTATCAGTGGTTTCAAGCACCACCTTTTTCACACTTCCCATCTGGCAACCCAAAACATGATATAGCTGAATAATTAAAAAAATTATTTAACAGTGATGAAAATACAAGAAAAAAAGTTGGCTTTCTTATTTTTCCATTCTCAGTAATAGTGCAAGATCTTTTGTTCACAACTTTTCATACTTCAGCATAACTGAATGCTTCACCATCTTTTGAATTACAAAAGAAAGTCACTTTCCAACTGTTTAAGTGAAAGGCCCTTTCTTTATAACATTTCTCTGAAAGTTTCAGTCCAGTACCAGCACCAGTTGGAATATAATGTTAAAACCCAGCATTTTAAAATATGGTCATATCAATGTGTCTTTGCTGCCCTGAAATCTTGCCCAATCTGATGGCTCACATTTCCTTTATCAAGACATAGCTAAAAATGACAAAGAATACCTGTTATTTAACAACTAGGTGGTTAATAAGTGGATTCATCCATAAGTATCCACTGCTAGCCACTGACACCAAGGTAAATAGTTGTTTTATTATACACTCAAACAGCAAGATAATAAAGCACATAAAGATGATTTTAACTTATTATTCCTTCAAAACCATTTATTCCTGCAATACAATAAAATGTTCCTGCCCAAATCCCATGCACCTTATGCCGAGGTGAACAGCACATGATATTTGGAATTTGAATAGCAAATCAGATTGCACCTTCAAGGCTATCCACTGTTTTAGTATTTACTAAAAGAAGCTACTACAACTTTTTCCAACCTTAAAACTTTGTGCTTATAAAGAAAAATATAAACAATGGCATCACCAAAAATTCCCTTATCATTTTTCATACTGACAAAAGAGCTGAAAGCTTACCCCAGCTGCCTCAACATTGCCACAAGGTTCTACAGTGCAGGGTCCAAAATATAGTCCACTTCCATCTTTGTTTTCAGCTCTTCTCAAGTGTATAGCAGTATCAAGGACAAGAGATGAGGCTAGTAGCAAAAGAAAGGTAGTAACAGGGGAGTATACTGCCATCTGTTGAACAGATCAAAACAACCATGACAAGTCAGAGAGAATTGTTCCAAACATGTGTTCTAAGCTTACACAGCTGGAAAGACTTGGTATTAATCTACAAACACATTAAAGATGATAAATTTTTATGTTAGTCTTGCCAAGAAAGTTCACTGTTCCAAGATAAATATTAACTGTAGCTCACAAGCAAAAAAAAAACCAAGGAGAGTTTTTCCATTTTCCTTCACTTATTAGAAACGATGCAACATCTTTCTTTATATCATTCTAGTCACCAATCTCAAACTTTCACCCCATCTCTACACCTTTTTACAAACTGCAGAACCTAAATGTACACGAGACACTTGCCACATGTCACAGGAAGTATGTCAAACAAAATTACTGAGTTCCTGTCAGGAATCAACCATTACACCTTTAGATTCTGTGCCCTGATACTCTATCACAGAGCCACAAAGACTTAGTGATGAGCAAAGGCGAATACTTGGTTCATTTCTGACATGCATACCCCATACTGCTACAATTAGCAATGTAAGTGGAGAATCCAACATGATCAACATCAAAGTAGGGCCTTTATTTAAATTAATTTTGTAACTGGGCTTCCAATATAATAAGGAAATTCTGGTATTTCTTTTTTTCCATATTTGTTTCAAATGATTTTTATCTTAAGTTTGCTTATCATCCAGTTGTAGTTTTATTAACATTTCAGTAGAGATCAATAATCTGCTACAACATACAGTGTATTTATGAATTCCCAAAATTGCATATCAGTTTAATTTGTAGCATATAATCTTACTTTCATCCCTCTCAACCTCTACAATGTTGAACTTTCTTTTCTACAATTGTCAACATTGCAAGGGCATAAGGAGTTTTGCAACAAGTTGTGTTTGAGTTTATTTTAAGAAGTCTTCTGCCTACAAGAATGTATGATACAGATGGAAGTCACTTCCAATTTGGTATCATTTAAGAAATTTCAGAAGGGCATTTTTGTGTTTTTTATATTCTGACAAGTTATCCTTGTGATGTTCTACTGACAATGTACCTCATGACAACTTTTCCTTGTACATGAAAAGAATGGGTCAGATGAACATAAAAATGATGCATGAACATGTATAATTGTAAAATCATAAACCAATTTTCAGGTGAGTGTCAAAAGAAATTGAGGATTAATCAATTGAGTTATTAAAATTGTGCCAGTTTCTCAAACAATCTGATTCAAAACTAAAACCAGTTGCATCTTGATAATTCAAGTTTCCTTGTGGGCAGTTTGCCAATGTTTTTACTTTGAATTCTCATCAGTTTTGTGATATCTTCCTTTGCTCTGATTGCCTGTTGAGACTAATTTGGTTTAGCTTACGCTACACTCAGTCAAAATGCACTTTATATCAAAGGTAAATGTGTACCAAATGATCACCAACTTACAAAAAAGTTCCAGTTGATAGCGATCCTCTCATGAAGCCGGAGCAAAAACAAGATGAACAGAAATATTACCACCAGCCATGATGTGATGGTTGCAAAGTAAAAGAAGTCAAATCTTCCACCATATCGAGAGTCGGTTGTAATGCAGTGTAAAGCCAGAAAGGCAGGCAAATGCTAACAGAAGGCCAAGCTGGATGAGAAAAAAAGGCAAAGTTACTCACTCACCATGGCATGCGCTCTTTAACTCTTATGAATTTCTCCTTACAATATAAATACAATTATATCAAGCAGACAAGAGATGAGAATGAAGAAACTTATGATCCATCAAATGTTTTTGCATGCAAGCCATTGGTCTAAATGCATCACATGATTGAAAATGCCCTAGCTTAAACTCATTGTAATAGCCAAGGATATACCCAAAGTGATATTCACCAATTTTTAAACCTGAAGCCTACCATGGTAAAAGCATCTGTTCAAATTGAATCTAAGATGAAAGGCATTTAGTTACTGTTACAGAAGGGAAATGTTTGTTTGTTCATAAAGTAAGAACACTGAAAAGTAAACATCCATGCTGTAAACAGTAAGTTGTTTGTAAACATTTTCCCCACTTGTTGGAAAAATAATCGAAGGATTACAAAAATATGCATGGATAATTGTCCTTGGACTTCATCTGTTCCATAGAGCTCACAGTTTTCCTCATGCTATGCTCTGGGCAAACTGTTTGCATCTCAGAACAGATAATGCACAATGGTAGCAATTGTTCATCCATCAATCTGGGGATCATCAGTTGATCCAACACCAAATTCTCAAAACTAACATGCTAAAATTTTAAGGGGAAAAAGAAAGGGGTAGTAACTAGTGAGATTTTGGGAGTTAAAGGTTTTAACAAGGATTATGGTCTCAATTCATGAATAAATGGTCTCAATTCTTGAATAAAAGCTCTTGTAGCCTAGTGTGGATCATTTTGATAGCAAATAAGCTATTTGGCATTGGGCTTTTTATACCTGCCCCCTCCCCCTTCACAAATTGTCCATCATGAATAAATTAAAAGCAGCGCTTCAAACATTCTTCCAGTTATAAAATCAAAACTGATCACTTGACTTGTTGTGTTAAAAAATGTTACCATCACGTACAATTTCCAAAATTTTAAGAAGTCCTGGTACACTTTTTTAAGTAGTTGAAATCAAACCAGTCTGTCTCATCTGTAGATTAGGGTCCTCCATGTTAAACTTTCTTTGTGCTTACCGTTATATAGCCCCAATCTAGAATTCAAGAGCAATAGAAATAAAGGCAATATCCTGAAAATTTCGCAATACTTGTATGCCAGGCTTTCTCAAGTTTATCTTTAAGGGATCTTGACAGTAGTTAGCTGTCTGTAATTTCCAGAAATAAAACATGTTCTTAAAATTGTGACACATTAGACCGAGAGGAAGTGCTCTTTCTTACTTTAAAGACAAATACATCGCTTATCAATCATTTAATAAACATTTCCGCATATGAACGCGCCTAAATATGAAAGTGGCTAAAACTGATACGCTTTCACGTTTGCTCAAACATAAAATTTGTAACTGTTGCAAAGTACTGTGAACTCGAAAATAACAAGATGAAAGTGAAAGAGTGTAGTTAAGGGAAACTCGACATGCATTCACTACTTTCCGGTGCATTTTAAAGATGTCAGCTGTTCGTTTGATTGAACCTTTTCGGTTACACTTTCGTGTGCCTCTTTCTTTCTTAGAGATTTTGACTAGCGACACCAGTGTGGATTACTGTTCCACGCACTTTTCTGGTAAATTTTCGAGTTATTATAAGGAAGAGTTATAGCACATACTAAATATAAAGTTAGGTATATTAAAAATCATGCAACTGAGAGCTTTCTCTGGGAAGAGTTTAAATTTTTTCTTACGGGTGGAATTGCATCAAGTCGGAATTTAAATAACATACGGACAAATGAAATAATTTTAAGAGTGCAGAGTTTCTTACCCTAATCAAAGAGGAGGTTTGCCTCGGAAGTAATCAGATCCTTGTATAGATGATACCTCACTATACCATACACAAAATGGTCGAAAGGGCAGCGATGAGGAACTTCAAAATAAGTATATAAAACCTTTCCTAATTGGCCAAAAAATCTTTTGACCAATCATAGCAAACCTAAAATTTCTTTCGGGTAAAAATAAATCATTACGATTGCCTCACTTCCATGCTTACGAAAAATGGCGGTTTTTTTAGTCACTATGCAAACTCGACAAATTTTCATCGCTAAAATCCATCGACCGAAAGAGAACCAAATTTAATTGTGCGTTGCAATCAAGGTACTAACTACAAAATATGATGTCAGCTCAAGAAACGGCAGATAAATGTAAGATCATGTATGCACTGTGGGTATAAAATTTGAATATTTTTGGTCTTTCATAAATTCAGTCGTCACTCAAAAATTTAGAAGTTACTCATGATGTAAGATTGCAATTTTTCATTTTTGTAGCATGAGATCAGCTTATCACATGATCGGTGAATAATTCATCATCTGTAAATATAGCTATTAATTCTGTCCTGAGTTCATACAAACTCTGTTTTGCCGGATGTTTCTGGCGAAAATGTCACCGCTTTTAGCTTGAATACATATATTCCAGTTAAGATCAGTTATAATTAATACTTCTCAGCATAGGCTTATGCACTGTATGGTGTAAGCTTTCAAATTATTCTTTTGTTGTTGTTACTTGAAATCAGCTGATTACACGATCGGCGAAGAATACGTATAACATCAATGATTGTAAATTTATTATTTGAAGGAAAATTCAATTTGCAATTTGAAGAAAAAAAAAAGTTCATGTTTTGAACATTGTAAATGTATCACGAATAAGACGAGTTTAAAGATTTACTCTACAGCACGCACCTATGAACAGTTACTGTCCAGTTTTATTCAGTTCCTACTTCAAAATTTAATTATGTTCAAAGTCATGTAAATTATATATATGAAATCAGTTGATCACATGATTGGTCAAAAATAGATAATCAATAACTGTCATTTTATTCTACCAGACTTTTAATTAAAAAGGTTTCTTTTGTGTTAATATTTGTTTTCTAGTCCAAAAAAAAAAAGGTTGAAATTTAATTTGCCAGAATTCACTATACACACATATGCAAAATTTAGTTCAGTTATCCTTAAGACTTTGTTGCATGGCTTATCAATCCTTGTTCAAACAGTTTCAGGCTCAGACTCTTTCTCTCAGGGTCAGCTGACTTAATCCTGTGATTTATCATTTGCTTGAATCATCAGTTTTAATATTATGGTACTGAGTGAATTGCTTAGAAAGTGCAAATTTTTCAATAATGGAGAAAAATGTTTCTTATTTAATGTTTACACAGTGAACAACAGCCTACCAATTCATTTGACAGCTTCAAATGTACAGCAGAACCCAGAATTTGTAAAATTGTTAATGTCACTGACAAGACATCTGACAGACAGTGGCATGTCAGTTGCTGTTCATAAAGACATGTTACAGGTTAGAAACGGGCCAGGCACTGCCAGTCTCAATGCCTTTGTTTTTTAGGGCAGTTTCAGCTGTCTCACTTTATTTGAAATTAATGATGATGAATGGTTGCCAATATTGATCTATCCACATGTTCAAGCCAAGAAAATATTACTCAACTTCACCTTACTGGAATAAATAGCATTTTTTTTTTTTACTTTTACCACTGAAACAAAACCAAAAATTGAGATGTATAAATTAAACTAGTTCCTTTACAATAAAGAAATAAACATCTAATGTGCCAATAAGGAGAAATATCACAAGTAACATTTATAATGCACAGTCCTATTAAGGCTTAGAATGCTGAGAAAAAATAATTTTTCTTTCCTTCAATGAACAGGCTGAGGATGCTTTAAGAGAACAAAAATTGAAGTACCTTCAGATTTGGACATTGTACTCAGAGCTAAAGGATTTGTTGATTGAATATGACATAAAGAAACAAGATGTTCATCCCAGTTCAGCCACATTACAAGTAAGAGGATTACTTGAAAATGAAACCTTGCTAGTTTACATTGTTTTGTTGCAAAATCAGGTGGATGCCAGTGTATTCTATAGCTGATTTCTAGAAAACATTGGCCAGAGTTTCATCCTCATGGGTTTGAGAAGTAGAATGGTGATAATAGATAGGCACCAGTAAACTGCTAGGGAAATGTGACATAAAGCAGGGTACAGTGATGTAATCTGTGATGAATGTTCATCCTGCCCATCAAGAGTACCAGAGAAACTGAGATAACTTCTGGCAGCTATACATGCAACTGATTAATTGAAGATTTTTTTTCTTTTCTGTGATTGATAGCTTTATGAAGCCCTGAAGGTGTCTCTTGCACAGGCAGAGGCACTTGACTACATAGATTTCCACCCTGAAGGAGGTGAACAATCTGCAACATTGCTTGGACTGAAAGCAGAACAACTACTTGCAGGAGAACATCAGAGAAAGTCCTTACACCAAGTAAGCTTTAAGTCATTTGTATGATTTTTGTTGTGGACATTGTGCATGTTGTGTTAAGTTTCTTTGTTTGATCAATTGAATGAATAACATAGTTTTCTTTTTTTGCTCAGTCTTTTCAACAGAGTATTATTCCTGAACTTGAGACCAGGTTGAGAAGCAAGTGTGAAACTTTAGCAAGTTTTCACAAACCAACCAAACAAGCTGGTATGAGTCACTACTTATTTCTTGTAAATGGACCAAGTTTGTGTTTAATGCCATGTTTTTATTCATGCATTACTTTGGCCATCTTTCAGAGAATGAACAGTTGTCTTTTGCTAAAGCTACCCAGTTACCAGCATTTCTTGAAAATGAGAAACAGTTGTTGGACCAAGAAAAGAAGCAGTTGCATCATAATCACATGCTGAGAGACAAACAGTTTACACAATTATATGAGGTTAAGTGTCTTTATTGGTTATTGTTCTACTTGATGTTAACCATAAGCCTTAGGTTGTTTACGTATCATAAAAAAACGTCATTTATATCAGTGCCAATATAATCATGTTGCAGTCTACTGAGGAAACATGTTTACTGTAGTTATAAGGGTTCCTAAGGTCAGATTCCTGTGTTGTTAATGGTGAACTTTCATTGATAATTTTTTTTTACTGTTTTTACATGGCTTTGAGGATAAAAAACTGACATTAGCATGAAATGAAATCAAAGTTTGGTTCTGAACCTAAGGTTTCACATATTGTTGAAAGACTTAGCAGCAAAAAACTAATGAGTGAGGGAAGCCTGGGGATGCCAATTTGATTGTAAGCAGCAACTTGCTCTTGCAAAAATTCATCACTGTTTTGTCCAGGGTTGCTTCTGGAAAAGGAAGAGAAACCATGACAAAATTGACTCATGTGCTTCCAGGTCTTAGAAATGGATTTAGATCAAGGGTGGTGGGTAGGGTCAGTAAAATTACAAATCACTTCACCATTTCTGCCCAGCCATTTATGTGGACACTTTGTTTTGGTTTTAATGCAGTCACTTCAAATTCTACAAAAACTAATGGCAGACCATCAGCTGCAGTCTCAAGCAAAACATGATCGGGTGATGGCAGAGTGGTTGGCTGCAAAGTGTGATGCTATGTGTCTGAAAGTCAGGTATTATTGACATGGGTTTCAGTTATTTAGCACAGTTGCACATGGTATCCTGCTATAATCCGCCTGCATGAGGTACATATCAATCTCATCTCCAGGGTCCCTCTTCTTAAAGGGTGAGATAAAGAGAAAGATTGGGAACCAGTTTGATTGATTATGTGAAACTGTACTATTTGAAGCAATATCAATGAATTTTCAATTTAGGCAATGTGAAGGAAAAAAAAAAATTATCAATTAGAGGATGTTGTTTGATGTAATACGTAATTCTCAGAGTGATATTTGTAAGGGATATATGGCAGACAGCATGGAGAATTGGAAGAGGAAGGTCTAAGAATGAGTTGGAGTATTTCCTCTACAGTGACATCAATAC